AGTACAAGATCTGAGTACTTCTACTTTTACTTAAGAACAAGATCGCGCGGGGATCGGAGAGCACGAGGGGGAGTGCAGATGGAGTTCAGAGAGATATGGAGGGCAAGAGCGAAGGGGGAGCAACATTTTAAAGTCGATGCGGTTAACGGGAGGTTGTTGAAGAACCGGGGTGATATGATCAATGAAAGGAGTTCTTGTAATTGAATTGAATTTGACAGAGTGTTTAATTAAATACCGCTTAGTAGTGCCGTTACACAAACATCCAAACAGGAGGAACTTTGCATGTAAAGTAAAAACCGTGGGTCACACGAAGCCAGATTTCATCACACAGTTAGATAAACACAGGCTGAATTTAAAGACAAATCTATAATCCCGCCATAAAGATTTATTATGTGCGTAAAAAGATTTGAATGCACAATATTTTCCAGGAACATTTTGTGTCCTCGTGAGCTGATAGTGATAAGGTTTTTAAACACAGTGATTGTTATTCAGAATGTAGGGCACGGGCAAAACAGGTCAGAAATTGTATAATCAGAAAACACTGATCAATATTTATTTATACATCAAACTTGATAGCAGAACATTTTAACTGAGTTATTTATTTATATCAATGTTTATTTCAACATTTATTATTTATTTATTTGTATTATTTATGTGTATTATGTATTCCTTTTTTCATTCATTCACGTATTTATTATTTTATTCATTTATTTATTCATTTATTTATTTATTCCTGTATTTATTTATTTATGCATTTTTTATTTTATTTAATCCTGTATTTATCAAAACTTATATTTATTTAAACATTTATTTATGGATTTATTTATTAATTATTTTATTTATGTATTCCTTTATGTAATCATTTATTTAAGCCTCCATATGCGATATATTGTTGCATTAAGTATATGTTACTGATGTAGAAAAACAAGGTTCTTATACAGAAAATATTCATGTATACGTCATTTTATTCTTCTAAAGTATAAAGCATTACATGGAAGTACTTCCTTACACTCCTTAATACATTGAACTAATTAAAAACCTTTCTATGGTAAATCTGTGCACGGCATTTCCAGTAAACTCCTATCGTGCAGCGCAACACCACGAACAAGTCAAGACTTGCCTGCACTGTAGCTTCCTGTTAGCAGAAAATGGGGAAGTCCCAGGGAAACTGTCAGCTGATCTGAGGTCAGCGTGATAACCATGTAAGGTAGAAGAGTGGAAATGTGTTACATTAAGAAGAGAAGTGAAACAGAAAGTAACACGGTTTCTACTTTAAGTTGTGCTTAAAAGGAAGTAAACGAAGTCTTTGATGTACAAATAAGGATTCAAGGCTTTTATTGTAATGTGTTCAGATGGTTCAGAGCTACACCGTAGTTATCAGTGACAATGGAAATCTTATGTCACAGGCTCCTCCAACAGTGCAACACAATAACACGGAGACAATAGTGCAAGTAAATAAAAATAAAATAGATTATAATATAAATAGTGCAGAGTCTATATACAAGTAATTGGAATATTGATATAAGTTACAACCAGATGAATGTTATGGATGTTCTTTCATAAGTTCAGGTGTTTAACATTCTTATAGGGACAGGATATAAGAGCGTGAGCAGGAAATAACGTGAAATTAAATTCCTGCTAAAGACAAGACAATACAACCAAAAACATTCCTTGCATGCCGTGTATCAGACTCAGTGTGTAGTGTCTCTACTTTAAAGAGTCCTCTCCTGCTGATGTTCAGGTGTATATCAGTATGCCTGCTGATGTTCAGGTTATATCAGTATGTAGTGTTCTACTTTAAAGAGTCCTCTCCTGCTATGTTCAGGTTATATAGTTGTAGTGTCTCTACTTTAAAGAGTCCTCTCCTGCTGATGTTCAGGTGTATATTTATGTTTAGTGTCTCTACTTTAAAGAGTCCTCTCCTGCTGATGTTCAGGTGTATATCAGTATGTAGTGTCTCTACTTTAAAGAGTCCTCTCCTGCTGATGTTCAGGTGTATATCAGTATGTAGTGTCTCTATTATCAACAATAAAGGGAGTATTTTGAAGAGGCATAAAAAGCAAACACACCTCAAAGTTGTACTCAGTAACCTTCTCATGTTATCCATGAGTGCCTCTAAGGAGAATCTGGAATGTCTCCACACACACACACACACCACACACACACACACACACACACACACACACACACACACACACACACCACACACCACACACGCACACACGCACACACGCACACACGAACACACACACACACACGCACACGCACACGCACACGCACACGCACGCAAGCACTCACTCACACACACACACACACTGTAGGTTTACAAGGTTAAGCCGTTCTGCAGTAATGTGCATACTTTTATTCTTAATGATAAACTGCCGGCCTTTGAAGGTAAATTGAAAATTGGACTGAAATGTTATTTTAAAAGTACAATTTTGAGATACTTGTACTTCACTTGACTTGAGTATTTCCATTGTATGCTAACTCCTTCTGCTCCACGGTTCAGAGGTAAGTGATGTACTTGTACTCCACTACATGTATTTAATACCTTTTAGTTAGTTTGCAGATTTGGATGAATGATATGAAATATAATCAACTTTAATCAGACTTTAGTTATAAACACTTCACATACCTACTTTAATCACTAGAGGGCAGCACACTACAACCTGTCAATTAAGAATATGAAATGTATACAATTATTATTTCTAAAATACAATCATAGTTTGAATATACTTATGTTCATAACAATAGATATTTAATTTTTTCTTCACCTGTATTCATTTATTTTAAAAAAAGGCCGTTTTATTTTTGAAAAACTACAATGCAGGTGCGTACGGTCGTGACGTCAGCAGCGTTCTAAAGTAGAGCTGTTATCCTCACTGCGCATGCGCCGGAGTCACTTTTACTTTAACCACACAGGGCTCCAGCCTCTTTCAGTCGGCAGCACACACCTGTCACTGTAAACTGCTCTGGGTTCATTCAGACATGAAAAACCTTCATTTCAAGGACTTCTTCTGGGTGAGTTCACACTGCTGGGTTTAAAGATGAATTATTGTTAAAAATATTGCACTTTTTGGTCGAAAAAAGTCACATTTCCTCAACAATTAAATCAAGAAAAGCCTATTTTTGCTAATGCTGCGTGTATCTCTGGTTTCAATTTCCAGTGAAGTCGAGTTGTGATGGGAATTAGAAATACTTACTTATTTTTGGTGTTATAGGGAATTTATGCAGTGGTAAAATCTGTTTTCAGACACTATTGTATAATGTAAAAGTACTATAAGCATCCAAAACTGTAGTATTTCAAGTATTATGCAGAAAAAATCCCTACTATTGTTATACTATTATATATGATATGTTATATGATCATTTTTACTGTTCCATTAATGTATAAATAGCGTTTATCTACAGCAATGCATCATATTTTATAAACTAATCATGTATTTTGCATGTACAATCTTACTCTGCAAAGTTAATATAGCGGTTAAACAATAAATACATGTATTAAAAATGCAGCTTACATGCAAGGCAGTAGAAGTATAAAGGCGCATACCATTATAACAACTCAGTTAAAGTCAAATAGGTTTAGTACTTAGCTATATTTCACCACTAGCTTAGTAAATACGCAGACTGCTGGATAAAGGAAGGGTTGCACAGCTCCATATGTTTAATAGAAAGTCAATAAGCTGCAGATTTAAACTCAGTGAGGATAATTGCAGGCTGCTGCTGCTGCCTCAGATTAGAGAGAGAGGTGCAGATCAAAACATCAATTAAGATCTGTGTGTGAAACTCCTCAATGCTCTGGAGTTCATTTCTATCTGCTGTCAGGGAACTAAAAATGTGAATTAAATTAAAGTAAAACAAGTTTAGGCAGCAGAATAGAAAGGTGTGAAGTAACTAAGTAGATTAAACTAGTACTGCACTTAGTTACTTGAGTTCCACCTGGAGTAAATCCACCAGCTACCCTGCAGTATACAAAGTCATTCAAACTAGCTGCACCTTTACCAGCTTTGAGAACACTTTCATGATCAATCATTATAAAACATATCATATATATTATTCTGAAATGGACCAATCTGCACAAACTGCCGCTACTTTCACTATATTTTGATGATAATACTTTTCTACTTTCACTTGAGGAACATTTTGAATGCAGGACTTTTACTGAAATAGAGTATTCCTACACTCTGGTACTTCTACTTTTACTCAAGTACAAGATCTGAGTACTTCTACTTTTACTCAAGTACAAGACCTGAGTACTTCTACTTTTACTCAAGTACAAGATCTGAGTACTTCTACTTTTACTCAAGTACAAGACCTGAGTACTTCTACTTTCTCTGAGTACTTCTACTTTTCTCAAGTACAAGATCTGAGTTCTTCTACTTTTACTCAAGAACAAGATCTGAGTACTTCTTCCACCTCTGTATGTCCGCCACAGATTAGATCCATAAGTATATACATATCCATATATCCATATACTTTCTGTTTCTTAAATGTGCTTTGAGGTCTGATTTGAAAAGTGTATATTCATTTAATGAAATAAACTGGACCTGTACTGAAATATCTTTTTCTGTTTTCACAGAATTCTGACCTGACGTCCACCGGTGGATATGATGCGATCGTCCAGTATCTCAGCGATGGAAAGAGGACATGTAAGGAGGTGGAGGACTTCATGAAGGCCAGGTAATTAAATCAACTGCATCAGAACCAGAACCAGAACCAGCTTTATATAGTAGTATGTGTAACCATGAGAGGAATCTAACTCGGTTTCAATTTCATTGTACGTTCAAGCAGATGACTTAAAAGCTAAAAACAACGTTCTGTAAAGACACAAATAGGTGTATATACCGTAATTTTCGGACTATAAGCCGCGCCTTTTTCCCTATTTTTCGACGCTGCGGCTTATATAACGGTGCGGCTAATCTATGGATTTTTACAGCTAACGGCCAACACCTTTAACTCTATGGGCTCTATGGCCAGTCCGCGGACCCCCACCTTTAAGCGGCGGGTTCCAGCAGGAAAAGCTGGAGGCCGGAAAAGAGTGAGACAGGTAGCGCGCAAAAGTAAAAGTGGAACCGAGAGTGGTATGCCGCTGCTGCGGCTTATATTCAGGTGCGCTTATAGTCCGAAAATTACGGTATATTTAACCGGAAGACGGATTTTAGTCATGGACGTCTGGATCTTAAGTTTTTGGGGCCAGAAGCTGAACTNATAAATTTGTAACTTACCTCGTTTAAAGCTTTGTTATAGTACTATGTCAATATTTATAATATATTTCGCGGGCAGGTAGCCTACATTGAATTACAAGTAGAAGTAGTAGAAGAAGAAATACGCTAACGCTACAAACAGGCACAACTCTTTTACTCTGTTTTTACCATAGACTTGGTTTTACTGACATCTAACATTTTATTTCACCTTGCTTTATGTTTTTTAATGCACATTCAAAAACGGGAGCATTTTCCAGAGTTTCAACCGGGTACCGGCCACCGAAAACGGCGACTTTGCCCAGAAAACGGACGTTTTGGTCTGTGGACTGTGTTTACAGCTAAGCACAAACGCTAACATGAATTAAGACTACCGTAATTTTCGGACTATAAGCCGCGCCTTTTTCCCTATTTTTCGACGCTGCGGCTTATATAACGGTGCGGCTAATCTATGGATTTTTACAGCTAACGGCCAACACCTTTAACTCTATGGGCTCTATGGCCAGTCCGCGGACCCCCACCTTTAAGCGGCGGGTTCCAGCAGGAAAAGCTGGAGGCCGGAAAAGAGTGAGACAGGTAGCGCGCAAAAGTAAAAGTGGAACCGAGAGTGGTATGCCGCTGCTGCGGCTTATATTCAGGTGCGCTTTATAGTCCGAAAATTACGGTAGATATTAAAGTGTGGCTGCACAATATAATAACACATGGTAAACCCTCACACACACACACACACACACACACACACACACACACACACACACACACACACACACACACACACACACACACACACACACACACACTCTCTCTCTCTCTCTCTCTCTCTCTCTCTCTCTCTCTCTCTCTCTCTCTCTCTCTCTCACACACACACACACATGTTTCTGGTATCAGTACTTTACTCCACTACTTATTTTTCTGACAACTTTTTACTTTGACTTCTTACATTTTGAACACAAATACCTGTACTTTCTACTTCTTACATGTTGAACACAAATACCTGTACTTTCTACTTCTTACATGTTGAACACAAATACCTGTACTTTCTACTTCTTACATTTTCCAACACAAATACCTGAACTTTCTACTTCTTACATGTTGAACACAAATACCTGTACTTTCTACTTCTTACATTTTGAACACAAATACCTGAACTTTCTACTTCTTACATTTTGAACACAAATACCTGTACTTTCTAATTCTTACATTTTGAACACAAATACCTGAACTTTCTAATTCTTACATGTTGAACACAAATACCTGAACTTTCTACTTCTTACATTTTGAACACAAATACCTGAACTTTCTAATTCTTACATGTTGAACACAAATACCTGTACTTTCTACTTCTTACATTTTCCAAACAGGCTGGTTCCTTTAGTCTGAATTGGTGTTTGGTGGCGTGATCATTATTATTTAGAGTCATTGCGTGCCTATTGATTTGAACACGATCCGTGTATCCATCATTTCCTGCTCTTCTCTAAAGAAGAGGGACCAATGAAAACGTTGTCATGTTGCCGTTGTTCAGCATGGAAACATTCATTAGCTAACAATGACATTATTGTTCTATTAATATAAAGGGAGGTCAGGTACTCTTTAAAACAGCTGCTAGTTATGGGTACTTTTTACTGAAGTACATTTCAAAGCCTCTTTACTTTGACTTGAGTAAACAAGTTTAGTCAGTACTTCTACTTTCACCAGAGTATTTTTAAACACGAGTATCTGTACTTCTACTTGACACTGAGGCAATTCAAAGTGAAGAGTGTCTGAAGTACTTTTCCTCTTTAACAACAACTGATGTGTTGTGAAGCATCATCTACATATATTTGCAGCAGAGTCATTCAAAGTTAATCATTTAAATGTGTATTTCCTTCTTCCTCGTGTGATAAGTGATCTTTCCTCAAGTGTTGGCAGCCAGTGACACATCAGCTCCATTTGCTTGGTTTGATTGCACTATAATAAAACTCACAGTAAGGATACAGCAGCAGAGGATATTGCATAATAACCCAACCAGAAGTTTCCACATTTAAGAGTGAAAATAACTTTTTTAACACCACAACACACAGGTTTCAAAATACTGTAGCACCCTTATCTCACTGTGACACTAAAAAAAAACCTGAATGAACCGGTTCCTTTCTTGTGCATGTAAATGGTCTGCAAAGGCTAAAATCCAAGCCTTTGCAGGAAGTGCGCCGGACTCTGAGGAAAATATTTGTTGTGGCCAAACGGCGGTACTACACTTCCATATCAGTCGCTGGGCCCATTGACTAACATCGGGAAAGAGACGTCTGTAAATCGTTGGATAATTTTTTTAAACTAAATAAACTACCCAGTATGAACGTTTGTATAGCCCTTTTTAAAAACGTTCGGTCCTCTAGTTGTAAAATGTGCTAATAACGTTATTCTGAGAGTTATTTTCCTCGGCATTATGAACGCGCATCTAACCCACGGGAACGCGCCGCCCGGCATGTTCATGTGACGTGTTCAGTACTACATGAGTTTTACCTTTACCCATGGACGCACAATAAGAACGGATTATATGATTATATGAATACTTTCGTGACGTTTCGCTCTCTCAAAAGTTGGGCCATTTTGTCTTCATGCGCCAATGAGCAACTCTCATAGGAATGAACGAGGCCCCGCCTCCCACGCTGTATCCAGTTCTTATTATACATCCATGCTAAGATCCCTTAGTGCCCTCACTAAGAAACACTCGCGCCCCTATTGGCTAGCGCTCCAACACATTGTACGTGATAGGCTAAGGGGCGGGACATCTCTAAGAGGTTGGCCAATCACAACAGAGCCGGCCAGCTAACCAATCAGAGCAGACTGCAGCACAGGCAGAATAGGGACTCTTTAAGTAAGAAAACAAAATGGTTGAAATTAACAAGTGTTCAATTATTATTTCCCTAAAAAAAATCCCAATTATTTTGAGACTTATTTTCTCTTGACATTATCTTTACTTGCTTTAAGTTTCTTGTGTTTTACGTTTTAGATGTACACATGAGGATAGAAATGAGGAAACTATAATGGGATATAATAATAATATTTACTTAAAAGGTGCGTCATATTCACTTTTAAGACCACTACGAATATATATAAAATGTACAGAACAAGTTGCTTTTGGATCAGTTACCACTACGTAACATAAGAACATATCAAAATGAGAGTATTTCGGTGGATGGAGGAATCATTTGTGCTGGAATACACGAGTGCATTTGAACCAAACAGTGTATGCAGCAGCACAGAAAGCCTTTGTTGTGTGTTCTCTAAATGGCACCTTGTTATTTGAGTTTCTGATAAGGCAAACCCCATAAAGTGATAAGGCATCATTAATAATATTCTCTTCAGTTATTTCCTGGTTCCCTTTTTGCCCTTTCTTCTTCCATGCTTGCTTTTGATGGGGTTGTTTTTCATCTATACCTGTGTTAATCCAGGTAAGTCCTATCTTTTAATATAAATATGTTGGGTTACTACACTCATTAAAACCAACAATGAGTATTTATAATGTGTTATAAATAAATATATAAATATATTTTTAATCCGCCTAAGAGCTTTTACTTGTCAAAAAACAACAAAAAAACATCAAATTGCAGTTTCTTTTAGACTTAATTTCACAAACACCATCCTGCTGCAACAAATATGGATTCATCCACCGCTGAAAAACGGTCCCTAACGGATACACATTAGGCCAGGGGTGTCAAACTCAAGGCCCGGGGCCAAATCCGGCCCATTTGATGTGGCCCGCAAGAGCTTGCAAAGAATATAATACGTTCTTATACGGTTACATGCTGCTTTACAGACGACATGTCCCACAATGCATCACGCACTGTGACATGCGCACTGAAGAGAGAATTATTTGCCCTGGACTTCTGCTTTCAGACGTAGTTAATTACTAAGTTATTACCCAACCGATAATAATCCAATTCAGAGGCAATAATTTAATATAATACATAATTTTGTATATATTATATATTTATATATGTATATTTATATGGTTACAACCGGCTCTTTGAGTGCAACCATAATGCTAATGTGGCCCGCGATGAATTTGAGTTTGAGACCCCTGCATTAGGCGCTTTCACACCAAGTACAGTTCAGAAGCGACGCAAGAATCCTTCCTAGCCTCGGAAAACGAAGAATTGTGGAACAGGCTAACAGGTGTGCGTCATATGCGAGGCCCCGCCTTAAATGGAGGCGCGATTTCCGCCAAAGATCTGGGAAATTGGTCGTGCGCAAAGCATTGTGGGATTTAAGAACCCTGGAGGATACACATGTGCAGCCTAGAAATTTCTCGCTACGAAGGACGCCGACCTCTGTAGAATTCCAAGGAGCTGGAGATGACGTAGCATCCTTGAAATAGTGGCTCTGGAGCATCCTCCCTTGACATTGAAAAACACCCTCACTCCGTTGGCGCGCTGGGCTAATCCTAATAATGCTAATGCGAGCAAATAAAATGGCGGCTTCACAAAACTTTTCGGAATTTTACAGGGCGTGGTTTGCAATTCGCCCAGCCAATCAGAAATTGGAACCTTTTCCTCCCCAGGAAAGTACCTGCTCTCTAGCTGGGACTAAAACGGGGTGTGGCTCAGTGGGGTAGTGCGCTGAACTTTGAACCATGGGATAGCAAGTCCGAGTCCCACTGCAGTCAGCATGTCGTTGTGTCCCTGGGCAAGACACTTCACCCCAAAGTGCTCCTGTGGGGATTGTCCACAGTATTGAGTATGTAAGTCGCTTTGGATAAAAGCGTCTAACAAGTGACATGTAATGTAATGCGAAAAGATTCCCGAAAAAAGTTCTAGTTCCAGATCTTTTTGGTGTGAACGCAAAATCCTAGAAGAACTATCGGAGCTATTCCTGGGAAAAGCACTCCGGTGTGAAAGCGCCTATTATGTCCTAAATTCATATTTGACGTTCATTCACAACGTCCGTCAATAAAAATGTCCATTAAATGATCCTGATGACCAACTGGTTTGCATATGTACACTCATCATAAAGCGTCATGGAAATAAATGTGCAGTTTATCAGATAAAGAATTTCCCTATCTGTCTGTATGCTGACCTTAATGTAGTACAATTGTGTCTTTCAGGGCCTCCATTGAAGAGAAATATGCCAAAGACCTCCTGGGTTTGTCCAAGAAAGTGTGTGGACACAATGAGATGAAGTGAGTGTGTTTTTATGATGTGTTGGGCTCCATTTATTTACATTAGACAGCAGTTAATAAAAGTGTGTTTCTGCGTATTTTTGGATGCAGAAAGAGAGGTTAAAGATGAGCCTGCTTACTAGGCATGGGATTGTGGTAAATATGTGGTTCGCAGTTTGAAAGTGAAAATATAAATGTCTTTTAAGTTGCAGAAATGTTTTGAGCGCCGCAAGTTTACTTCCCATTCTGTCCGCGGTCACATATCAGTTTATTTGTGTGAAGAGGAAGGAGGAACAATGTGGGAGGGGGAGATGGGAACTGGATTTACTTAATAATAGTTTATTAATAGGCCTTTGTATTAAAGGTTCCCTGCTTCTCACAAAAAGGCAATGTGTGGATTTAAGGAGGCCCTATTATGCTTTGGGGCTGTGCCTTTCCTGTAGTTTGTGATATAGGTTTGTGGGCATGTAAATGTTCTGCAAGGCTTAAAACCCACTGTGGAACACTCACGCTCCCATAGAGCGGTGCAGTGGTGACGTATTTGTGTAGGCCGACCCGGAAGTAAGCGCCTGGTTCCCTCGACAAAAAAGCAACGGATTATCTCCATAGGATTTTGGAATAGCGTAAAAAATAAGATCTGTGGAAAAGGAACCTGTTTGATAAATGCACGTTTTGTTCAGCTGGATAATCTCCACACGTCTACCCTACTTTTATCCTTTTCTAATCATAAATCTAATCGCCAGAAGCAGAATGCTAACGTTATGCTATAAACCACATGTGTCAAACTCAAGGCCCGGGGGCCAAATCAGGCCCTTGGTGGATTTAATTTCGGCCCGCAGGATAATTTCTAATTACTATTAGATCTGGCCCGCCGGTACATTGCACGCACACCTTCACTCCATCCTGAGGGTCTCCTCAGCTCAGAGCCTGAGCCCAAACATTGATGACCTTGCACCCAAGATGAGATGCCAAGTATCTGAACTAGCATCACAGAGCAGCACACTGAGTTTAATGGATGTTTCCTTCTGCACTTTCTCTCTCACGACAACAGGGCATGTTTGGTTTTCTCTTTGAGGGAAATAGTTTTCTTGAAGCTGTTGTTGGCCTGTGGGAAAATTTAATCATAAGAAATGACTCTGGAGAAGCTGCAGATAGAGCCATAAGAAATGAATGCAAATGATTATTTAATGTTTAATGTTGTTTTTATAGGCAATCATTTAAGCTTTGTTAGTTCCAGGTT